TTTACTTTTACGTTATTGACAGTGTGTCTGACAACAGAAACATGTGTTCCAACACAACCAAGTTCCGAATTCAGTACTAATCATCGACAGGTCGTGGACTGGTCGTCGACTATTAGTCGTCGACAATAAGTTGTGGACTGGTTTGTGTATGGTTCCAAGATTGTTGTTGGAACAAACCTATGGTTGTTGACTGATGTCAGAAATACTTTTTTCTTGCTTTTGAAATCGACTTTTTGAGAATAACTATGATCGTTTTAAAATGGATATTAAATATTTAAGGAAATTGTTAATAGAATATCCAGATGTAGCCAGGTTGGTATAAAGTATACAAATCTGGTCTGTTTACATTTTTAATGATATATTTGTTATAGGTATAAAAAGTAAACGTTAGTCAGTGAATGACAAGTGGATCACACAGTAACCTGGTATCTCTCCTATGAGAAATGTGGATAGTATGGCTTATTTAGTGTTAACCCATGGTTAATACGCTAAAGGGCAAATAAAGCCTTTCAAAGATTTACATGCCTATGAGTCAGAATTTGTTTTGAAAACTGGAACTAACATTTTCATAACACTACATGTCAACATATATTTTTTAATTTAAAATGAACTATTCATACATACCTATGTATTAATTTTAAGTATTTTTAAAATATTTTTTGTGAACGTAATGTTAACTCATTGTGCTAAATTAAGATTATCTCAAAAGTAGTAGATGGTGTTTTAAATGTTATAACAATTTTGTAAATGATTTTATTTTATTCTATTCTAATAAATAAAATTTGCTTGAATATTGAGTTACATTTTAATCATTTTGGTTAGAAATTCATCAATTTTTAGGTTTAAAAAATCAGTAATAAAATTTTTTTTTTTTAAATACTTCGGAATTCATCTCTTCATGGTAATCTCCCATCTTTTTACCTTCAAAAACCAATAATGCATTTTCTACAAAACCTTCTTCAGAATCAGCATGTAAAATAATAAGGTGTTTTCCCTTTCTTGTAGGGCTTTTTAGAAATTGCTACCCTAATAGTACTCAATGTAGAAGGATCCATAATTGTAGATTTTCAATACAATTGCTAACCTAAGAACTATTATTTACTAAATAAAGTAAAAAACTAAGTAATGGATAAGATATCAAATTATAAAATGTCAGAACTGTCAACAATATCAATTATTAGCTGATGTTCATGCTAAAAAGTAATGTGTGAAACTGACTGCAATCTGACCAATCAGAAGGCTACAGAATTGCCAACTTAAATTCAAATCGCTCCTCTTAGTTTAAAAACAGACTTATAGAATGTCGAGAAAGTTCTTTTGTGTGCTCGCCAAGTGAAATGCGGCACCTCAATATTCTAACAAACTACTTCTACTATCTATAAGTAGAATATTTGTTTATATACATTAGGTTTTTTCTTTTGCTTCGAAAATGTACAACTGTAGTTTTATAAAGTGCAATTTTAATATTAAGTTACTAATTGATCAACTTTTAAGTGTTTTTTAAAAGAAACAATTCCTTGCTCTTTAAATGTTATACTATTCTCAATCAACCGCATTCTCTTTTAATATTCATTTCAATGACGCATTAGCCTAAACGAATTTCCTTCAGCGTTTGTTTGAATAACGTAAACATAACATACGCTCGCTGAAAATCCAGATTTTCTCTATGTACTTTTCACCGTAATGTGTCTAACGCAATTCGAAACAACACTAACAACAATATATACACGTTAATAAGTCAACAATAACATGTTTGTTTTACGCTGGAATAAATTCGAAATGCAATTTATAAACAGGGCAATCATAAGTTTCTGTTTAATTATCATATTTATCGTTAGATTTGAGTATTTATTTACGCACTATATGCCGTAGTGTGAAGTTTATGCGAGTATTAACAAAATGGGCAAACCTGGTTAAAATGTCAAGGTTATTTAGATTTTGACCTTTGTCCTTTGTAAACAAATTGTTTTTTTTTATAAATGGAGTTCTCTATATATCCTGCTAAACCATGTTACGTTAATTTATAAAAAAAAAGAAAACAAAACTATTATATTATTATTCAACTCGAAAATCAAAGGTATCAGAGACCAGAGTGAGTAACAGTTACACTTACTAGCCCAATTTAACGATGTGGGATTTATATCGCGCCAGAAGCTTTTCTAGTGAATAAAAGTACAAAATCCTTCGATGGATCGAACTCTGATACTTACCTCTCAAATCCAATATAATATAATAATCCTCAAATCAGATATGTGCACATTCATCGACACTATATAAAAAAGACTATGTAGACTAAGCTTTCTAGGTCCAGGGTTTGTCACTGGACGACACTCCTTCTATATCTTTTTAATGAGGGGAAAAAAAAGGTTGAAGAAAATTCTGAAGTTCTCCCAAACAGATTTTAATAGACAAATTCCTCTGTGCCTTCTCTGGCAAATTTATTACAGTTTCTCACTTGGTTTGGTTCCAATTTTTCGAACAATCGGAGCCAGGTTATCTAGGCTAGTCTACAAAAACAAAGATCAGTACATATGGTTTACAACAGGTTTAAATTAGGTTTACATAGAAAACTTGATTCTTACAAAATAAACATATAAAAGGTCAATATCACAGGTTACCCAAATACAATATATTAAAATAAAATGGTTTATACACGGTATTTCAGATTTAAACGGACACAATTTAATGGGAGGTAGAGTACACTTAGCTGAGTTCAAAACACCCCTATACTTAGCCTTTAATATTACTCGTTTATGATTTTTTGACAAAACTAAAATCGGCCATTTATTAACTACAACTAAAACAAAAATAGATCCACAAGTGACCTCACCCTATGGTATAAAATAAACAAATTATCAATGATTATTGGAAGAACAATATTGGGTAACAAATAAACTGATTAAAGTTTCAAAACCTGTCTAGGAGAAAAAAAGTTTTAACCAAAGTAATGAAATAAACTATAACTATGAAAATATACTCATATGAACAACAATATTAAAAGAATAATGTAAAATGTAAAAAAAACGGTTCACTTAACTCACGCTCGCGATTCACCAGCGCTCCAAATTGAACGAGCCAGCGAGCCCACAGCCATCACTTAAGAAGGAAATCAACTTCTTCTTCATTTTACCATAAACACCGATATTTAAAGATGGTGCGAAAGAGGGATGACCCAACCTCTTGGCCAGCAAACTTTAAACCTTGGGCTCCATTATAAAAGGTATTATTGTGGTCAAGACTCCAACAGAATTGACACCCAGGATAGGTAATACCAACCCTAGTATTTGAATATCCAGTACAATAACGCTTCCGGTTGAAGGCACCATGAGGTGAAAGTAAAATACGAGTTTTATATCCCCAACTTGGGTAAATCGTGAATACACTTCTTACAAATCGGGGACGCTCCGATGGTACTATATTTACTTTTTCACTTAATTTCGGCCTCGTAACTACCAACAACGTTTCAACCTTCTTCGTCAAAAAACCACGCCAGAAGGGCTCAGTCAGAAAACTTTTTTCCCTTCCTCTTCCCCTCCAGAATGTGTAAAGTTTCAACCCTTCACGAATTATATTGAAAGGCCTTGAATACCCATAGGTATGGAGGCATTCTAATTATAAAATTTACAACAGCCAAACATTATTTTTCTTGTCCCAGACTATTATATTTACAGAAAATCTAAAATAATACCTAATAACTTCCCTTTAAACATCAGTAAAATAATACAAAAATATTAACTGAACCCTAAGTATAGGCCACTCGAAATATTATCTGAAAGTTAATTAAGTAAAAGGCCATACAGCATACGCTGTTTTCCGTATTTAATTTCCTATAAAATAAAAATAATATACAGAGTTGAAAATTAAAACTGGAGTGTAACAAACAAAATTTTCATTATGACGTTTTATATTGCTTATGTATTTTTTTTAATACGGACCTGTATTTTTAATTATAATTTGTTATTGTTTTACTACGTTTTGTCTATAAAAGAATCATCAGCTTTATATCTTCTTATAATACCGTTTTTTCTTAAGTAAATCAATAATTGAAAGGTTATCTAAATAATCAAAATTATTACATAGTTTTCAAATACTTTACAACTCTCTACAATCTTATGGCATAATATAGACGTCAATAATCTCAAATCTATTAAAACCTAGTGTACTGCAAATTTCAGTTTGTTAAATTAAAAAACAAAATGAAAAATCTAACTTTTAAATATAATCTGACTGATGTTTTAATAGATATAGATACTATATAAGAATATACAAAATTTTTATGGCATTCATACGGATTTGAAATTCAAATCTGTTATTTAATCTTAAAAAAAAAAACTCACATCAGGTTGTTATGCCATTAGAGTTATTTCTCGTGAATTAAGAGTTTGTGCAGCCAAAACCACATACTATGCGTTAATTGGCTTCAATTTTTTATGATTCGCTATTTAGTTTTAGAGACTTTCTTCTAAGGAGAGTAATGTGGTAGTCTTCTTGAAGCAAAAACGGGGAGTATGGTTCCTATGTGGAGTACACACCGTCGGCTTACTGTCAAAGTTTTTTATTGCAATTATATTAATTATATATATTTTTTTTATTTTATATTCGTTAAACACCGACATAAAGTCCAGCCCGATGTTAAGCTTCGTCTAAAGAAGTTTTTAAACACCAAAATATGTGTTTCATATTAAGACAAGATACACGTTTTTCGTGTCTTCTATAAAATCACTTAACTCTGATTAAAGAGGTTTTATATACCGAAGTTCTTAAAACATGAAATAATAGCATTAACAATGTTTATTTTAGAATCTTGTTGCATAGTCCATAAGAACAAATCTAAATATACATCTAATATAACTTGCCAAATGAGTAATTTGAAATTACATATTCCTAAAAACTAAACTCACGTAAATAAAGATTTAAATATTTCATAAATAAATTAAAAACCTTTATTTACCGATATTATAATCATACACATTTTTTAATATACTTTTTTTTTGTTCTAGGGTAATATTTGGCAGCAGCTGATGTCATTTCATTTCATCTTAGAAATAGTCAACACCATTCCATTTACGTTAACTGTAAGTATATCTTTTAAACTATTTATTTTTTTAATATTTTTTACAATATCCTAATGTTTAGTCGTTGAGTTGAGTTGAGAGTATCTGTATTTTCTTTTATAATTTTACACTTTTTATTAAGTTGATTTGTAACGGTACAATAATTTTATCTTTGATTATAATACGAGTATGTTATTGAGGTAGTTCCTGATAATGGTTCTGTTTTGTTTTAGTCCATCCTGTATTTTTAGTCCATATTATTTAATGTTAAGTTGGAAGCATGTCTAGGAATAAATGAAATTTTTTTAATAATCTCCGTAGGGTCACTACAATATTTGTCGAAAAGCCAACAACACTCGATCTTACGTCATCAGAAATGTGTTGAAATAAAAACAATATGAGTACATATTTGATATCTTGGTTGCTACATCGGAAACAGGAAAGCAACAAAAGATGGCGATGACATTAACACTAAACTCAATTGCATACATAGCAATTAATAAAAAAGACTTCCGATTCTGACACCGACATGTCAACATCGAAATGGTGGTCTCAGAATCGGGAGTCCAGTTTTCACAAAATATAAAGTTTTAAATTGACCATCTGACTTTTAAATTATTACTAAATACTTTGGTACATTCTGTGCCGAAGTTTTAAATTCATTTTTTAGTAAAATTAAATATGAAGTGTAGTGAAAAAGTGATGACTCTATGGTCAGACGCACGAGGTTGTAGCTTTTCCATGAAATTTCATTCTATCAAAAAAACATAACCTGGGTAAATAGTCCTGAAGGATTGAGCCCATAAAAATCTAAGAAGAAGAAGAAGAAGAAGAATTAATAAAAAAGAAACATTAAACAGAGCTTTTTGAAGTCTCGCTGCCTGTGGAAAATATTAGATTTCTACGCAGTAGGATCTCTATGCATCTCTCTGTTTTTGTCTAACGATTTTTTTGTATCCTCTGAAGTGAGATTTGTAAGTATCTTAGTCCTTTCTGAGTTCTGTGGTTCTTGCCTTATTAAAGGATGTCCTAACCATTTTCCTGAGATGATCCAACTCGTGACACCACCATGCGGTAGTTTGCTAATCGTGTTGGACCAACCTCAGGGACAGAATTTCTTATTGTGCTTTGCAAAGTGTTCCAGTACATTTCCAAAGCATTGTTATTGTTTGGTGTTTGGCCCCTACCTCTCTTAAATCCTCAGAGAAGGTAGGCATAGATTGCCTTGTTAAGGTTCCGAGATAGTGTGAAGGCCACCAACATCTAGTTTATTTTGAAAGTTAACTAACGGTGGTCTGACATCGAAATGTTATTAGATACTTGCCATTTTAGAATTGATTTATAGATACCAGTTGTGTATTAGTATTTGAATGCAAGAATTTTAAAATGTTGGTGTAGAACATTTATTTAAAATACAAAGATTTTTGGTAATTATAAAGTTACTTACCTCTAGCAAGCGTTGTTATCCTTACTGCTTCAACTAAAGTGATGAGCATTTGAGGCGCAACCTATTACCAGCACAAACTTCTGGTCCAGGCAATTTTTAATCACATGGTCCATCTATTTACTGGGTGGTGGCGTCGAAAGGGAGGTATGCAGATGGCAGGATCAACTTTTATTTTTCCTTTGATGGCGTATTCCATCCTAACCCCAGTTAAATCAAGAGGGAACGGTGCGTCATTGAGCTCTGTATTTCCTAGGACTTGTAAATGGCTGTCCTAGGTTGTTGGTAGCTGGGAAAGCTAAAAATTAAACCATTTAGATTTTTAAGACCTAAAATATTGGTTTTTATTATCCAGGATTCCTGGATGAATGCTATTGTATCCTGCAGCTCATCAAGGCAGCCACCATTTTATGTTGCAAGTGACATTGTAAGATTACCTCTTTAATTGCTCCCCAGTCCTCCGTTGAAGTTTGAGCAGCCAGATGGTTAATTATTTGATCATCCCTTCCTCCGGTGAAGAGGGGGTGATCTTTTGTGACCCATTGGAGTTTTCTTGTTGCAAGTCGTCGGTTGCCATTTTTTCTGGCTCGACGGCTTCTGCTGCTAACTTTACTTGGGAAAGAAGAGGGTCCTTTGAAAAGGATTCTTCACTGGGCCCCGCTTCAGGTTCTTTTTCGACCTTTGGCCTTATAGTTATTAATTTGACCTTTAGGGTTCCCATGTCTTTATCTCTGATGCCGAAGACGAAGAGATGGCCCTTGGGATCTTTTTTGGTTTCATGGTGGAAGGTGCACCATTTCGCCACATGTAAGTTGGGGTTTTGCCCCTCAAGTCACCTGAGCACAACCTCCTTCTCGTCAAAGTCAGCTTGCGCTTCCCCTGGGATCCAGAGCAAGTGTTGCTCCTTCCCATGGTTATAAAGTTAGTACCTTGTTTTTTAGCCAGGTCATCGTCGCACGTTACTTTGATGATTTCACCACTATGCGTACAATCAGTTCTATCAGTATCTTTGCTGGAGGTGAGCATCCAGCCTCTTTGGATTGTTGTTTTTGTGTTTCCATATGGTTTCCACGAGTAGCTAGGGATGGAATGCTCGACCATCGTAGAGTCTCGCATACGCCGGCAATTCATCCGTCGACACATTACCATATACCTTGAGGAGTTGGTTCGTGACGGTAGCCTTTGCAAAAGATTTTAAGTGTTGTTAGGCTCTCTCACTCTACTAATATCTACCACTAACCAGGGAAATCCTGACCGTTCTCCCATTCACCACCCGGAGGCTCGTTCAGTTGGCATTCAACCGCTGAGAAAAAAAAATCACGTTTAACATATTGGCCGAAATTATCTGATTAATCATTCTGACAGAAAAAATTATCTTTTTCAATACATCATTCGTCCTTCTAAACTCTAACGACTTAAATTAAAAAACTGGTGTAAATTATATATTTGTATTCCTAATTATTTTTAGTAATAAACGATTAAAACCTCGAAAAGTTAAATTCGCATTATCAGCCCTAATATCTAGTTTATACAACATTTGCACAGTCATTAAATACCTTCTTTCCATCATAGTCTATCCTCGTTTTCAAAACAAGCCTTACAAGCGAACATCGACCAATTACTCAAACTCCAATTTGCCGATAATATGTCGACGGTTTAGTAGATGTAGTCGACAGCTAAGAGCACTTTTCCTACGACGAAAAGCTGATAAAAACACGTTAAAGTCATTTATTCGGGTAAATGGAAGAGAACGCTACGGGTAAACGGATAAATGAGATCGGTATTAGTTATTTACAAGTCGCTTAGAGCTTAGGATTTAGGTGTAGATTGACGTAGATAGATACAGTGCTTTTCAGATAAAAATATTCACCTTAAGTATCTTTATAAGGACTAATTATTACAAAAAAAAAATAAACAATACGTCAATTAATATTCGAAGGGAGAGATATTGTGCAATATTAATTGATGTATTTTTTGTTTTTTTGTAATAATCAGTCCTTCAAAAGTTACTTAAAGTGAATACTTTTATTTCAAAAGAATCTGTATGTACCTTAATACACAGATAGTTTGATATGACGTTATTAAATTCCATTTAAGGATATGCTGTTTATAAATTAAATACTTACAGTTAGTAGCAGTAAACTGTTTTGGCGAATTTTTATAGACAGTTTCAAATTTTCAACTTCTTCGAATTCATGTATTCCTATTTTATTACTTTGTGATGTTGCTTTATTATCTAATATATTTAGTTTAGCATCTAAATACCGATTTTTATATCTCTACACTTTCTATGTGCCATGTTTAGCCGTTTAAAAAACATGCAACCTCCCTTTTTCATCCTGTTCGGAACGAAATTTTCAAAAATCCTTCGTGAGAGGGCGTGTGCGTTATAAAGTCATTATACCTTCCAACTTTCCTGCTTCTAGGCCTAAAAGTTTGGACTGTGGGTTGATTTTGAGCGTATTAATAATCAATCTGGAACAAAATAATCTCTGAACCAATAGAAAAACTTTAAAATATCTCTTGTGAACAAATTAATCTGTTTATCATTTGTATTAAGATTGACTGTGTTTTATTCGTGTTGGGTTGTTGTTATTATTAAAATTAAGCATAAAAACATTATTCTATACTCCTTTTTATTTATCCATCTTATTAAAATGTAATGCGTATATTTTATATAATTTGTCAATTATAAAATTTTGGTGGTAATCACTTTAAATTTTGGTGGAAGCGCTACACACTACCTATTATGTAATTTTAATTTTGGTGTATGCACATCATGTATATTATATAACTTTCGTGTATTTTGGTGGATCCGCTACATATTCTAATTTTTAGACTTATTGAAGTTTCACTTGAAAAGTGAATATTCTTAAGAAAATAGAGACATAATAAGAGTGTTTATGATGACTAATTAACAAAAAATTTAGCTAACCGATAGGAAATAAGTTAATATCAATAAAAAAAGGAATCTTTTTAAGTAAATACTTTATTTATGTAGCTTTTTCAAAACTTAACACGTCTACGTACAAAAATAGCTTGCTAATTTTATGCATAAAAATCTAAACTTCGAAAAGTCGATAATTTCCTGCAAATGTCTGATCAAAACGACAATTTAGGGCAAAAAGTCAATAAGGAAAATTTGAAATAATCTACTGGCAAGTTTCTCTAAAATCAAACGAATAATAAAATTTTGCTGAAATTGAATTATGGGGAAGTTTGGAGGGGCTACCCAGGTCAAAGTTTAAGCTATTTATTTTGGTACTAGCAATACTTGTCGCGTGTCGCTGCGCTAGTAAATAAATAAATAAAAAAAGTCTTTATTGGACATAATCTAGCTACTTTCCACACATCAGGAAATACAGACTTTTGGACAATTAGATTAAAAATTTTAAATAAAGGTATTACAAGCACATTAGCACAGTCTTTTAAAAGAAAACTGAAATTTTGTCACTTCCATTCTAGCCGTTCTCATGTGAAAGCGCTTACCAGCGAAGAGCATTTGATTTTATTTGTTCAAATTAAATAATTTACTTTGCAATCAAATATAGAAGATGAACAGGTAGATAGATAAGTGGAAATCGAAACTTTTACTCCCATTTCCTTCCATTAAAATGTGAACGTCCAAAGACCTTGAAACCATACTCCCATACAAACTTTGACCCCCGTTTCCTATCCTATAGTTTGAAAATCCAAAAACCCTGAAACAAGTCAATATTTATTGATGCTCAGTAGCTATAATTCCAATTTTCATATTTCTAGCTTCAAAGAACGGATACTTTCATACAAAGTTGCCTTACCCAATTCCAATTCCCCCCATTAAAGTAGAAATTTCCAAAAATCCTTTCTTTGCGGTTGCCTATGTTATAAAATAAACCTATGGTCCAACTTTCAGCTTTCCAAACATAGTATTTTTGTCTGTGCGTTGACAGATCAGTCAGTCAGGACAAACGATTTTATATAAAATTGATTAAATTGAATATTTGCCCAAATTCTACCGCGCATTTGGCTAAGCAGTCAAAGAATCGGTCGTTGTTAATATTAGTGATATCACTGCCGTGTAATAATAACATGAAAACGGTCCAAATTAAGAAAGTTAAAATTTTTATTAGAACAAAATTACAAGGGTGTATTATTCATAGCTAATACGTTTACCTAACTTTATTAATACTTGTAGTAGTGCTGCATATTATAGATAGGACATTCAAATTTTAACGTCACATACATTCCCAGATAGTTACTTAAATAAAACCTTCTATAGTACTATCTTTCAGACAAATATCTAGAACGATATCTGCAGTTAATTGTATAGCCATCAAAACTGATTTAAAAAAAAATAGTGAAGTTCGGCAACAGTTTGGAAAAAAATGTGAATTCTACGCCTATCCAGTTTATGAAACTTTCAAGAAACCTATTTTCATTCGCATGTGTAAAACTTTTCTATATACTTCAAATGAGTTACAGTAAAATTCTTTTCCGACCCAGGTTGTAAAATTCGAGCGGCTCCTACTTCTAAACATTCTGATTGATTTTCAATTTACTTTTTAACAATACAATACTCTGTTTTTCTATTGTAAAATACTAATCCATTTTTTAACAATACAGTAATATTGCTGACCCTAATGTTTTTCTATTGTTATATAATAAATCACAATCCACGTGCACATCAAAGGACTCCGCACTATTGAGTTTGGGAACGGTCAGAAATTGTTTAAATTTAAAAATGTTAATGTCATTAATGGCAACTTTTTGATGGATCTTAAGTTTGTTGCTCTACAGGGTAAGGTATTAGAAGGAGTTAAAAATAAGGTTTATTCGGTCATATTGTTTTTATTTTCTATAATTTAATATGTTTCGGAACATTTGTCCATCTTCTAGTGCAGTCAAAATGTAATAAAATACTTGGGACGATTACAAACAGTTCAAAATTTTTAAAATAACTGAAACATCTTTCTGTTTCACAGCGTGTGAAGGTGTATTCAGAAAAATATTTTTCTGCACTCGATTGCACTATTGTATCGTCAAATCCTTGGATTTTCACAAATGCCTTACATGTTCGCTTACTACATTGCCATACACGGTAATTTTTTAAGTTGTATTGCTCGTATATTAGTAAAAATAAACAAATAAATAAATAAAACTTTAGAAAATAACTTAATTGTAGCAGTTATGCATTTAAATTTAACAGATTGAGAGCTACATTCTTTTATTTGTGTTATCTAAATATTCTTCCAGCTACTAATAAAATCACTAAAATAACTGACTATAAAAAATTAAAAATGTATGTAATAAAAATTGGTAATACATAAATAAAACTCATGACGTTAGCAGATATTTAAAATTGTATATTTTTAAGTTTTACTTTCGTCAAAATAACTTATAAAAAAATAATAACAGGAACGCTCACATTTTAATCTAATAACAATTACCTACCTAATGAAGGAATAAAAAACCTTTTACCTCTTAATAAAATAAACATTTCTCAAACAAGTTGAATTTAAGGAAACCCGTATTCAAAGAATGATTCAATTTAACTTAGTACGCTTTTTATTTCCACTTGTCATTTTTGCATTTCAATTTTTGTTTCGTTTAACAATATTTTTTCTTTTTTTCAGCTTTTCTACCCGCCTTTGAGGAACCTGTTCATTCCGGTGTTCCTAAACTGTTGGCTCGCGAAACACGCCCTGGAAAATATGTTCGTAAGTACTTTAATTTAATTAGTTAGGTATATAAAAAGTTTCGGGAAAGTGCAAGTGGCTCTAACCGAGAAACTGGATATTCATCGAGTTTGAACATGTACTAAAGTTTGTAAACCCAAAGAAGGGACAATGCATATTTTGAGTGGCTTTTCTTTCAGCACATTTCATATTTGTATTTTATATTTAAATATACATATTGTTATGAAGATAAAATCTTAAAAAAAATAGTTAAATTTAAATAATTCAGACATGTGCTATACTAAATTATAAAGGGAACAAACAGTATAAAACTGCAAGTGTGATTCAGTTAATTCGACAAAATGTAATTAATATTTGAATTAGAAAAAATTGACTTATTTTTTTTATTTATTTTACTTCATATTCTTTTCTTTTGTAAGAAGGTTGAGAGTTAAAGAGTAGCTTCAGCTAATCTTCGCCTTCTTGGTGTAAATGTAATGTAATAATTTATTTAATAAAGACATTATTATTAACTTAAACAAAATGACTCAGTCGTCAAAAAAGCACACTGGGTTCATTATAAATATTTTAAGGGCTGGTCAAATGTTAAATCAGTATTCTAATCTTTTTTTTGCATTTCTATTGTACCTTCTTGTTAGGTAATTGATAATTTTTTCTAAGTCAAAATTCTATTTTTTGAATTTTCACATTCTTTGGGCATCAAAATATAATTCTTAAACTTTTTGGATCTTCATTATGCCTTCCTATCGATTGATAATTTTTTCCAGATAAAATTAGATTTAGAATTGTATTTTTTAAATTTTCACACTCTTTGGTGTTATTATAAAAATTTGTCGCAATATTTATATGAAGAACCCTACAAGAACCTTACAGACTTAAGCCTATTTTGGGGTATATGATATGAGCATTAAAATGTCCCCTTTGTTATTAATGTGAATATTGACAAAAATTTACATGGCTGTAAAATCTACAAGGATTAATAGATTTCTCTAATTTTTTGTTGAAACTGTACACTATTGTCTAGCATTTAAATCATATCCCCAAGAGTTAAAAATTCAAGGATAGGCTTAGGAAAAATTAATCTCGACGATTCATATCAAAAAGTTCGCCCTCTGTACGAATTTTTAATATTATAATAAGAGATTTTTATAGTACATAGATAGACAATCAAAACTAACGTTTTTGTCACATTTTCGTTAGTTGTTTTATTAAGTTTCGATTTTTGATACGAATCGTCGATATTAATTGTTTCTAAGCCTCTCCTGGAATTTTTAACTTTTGAGGATATGAATTAAATACTAGTTTCCACATGACTCATCCCGTATATGTTATTTTGTTATACTTTTAGAGAGAAAGTCAATGTCGAAAACCGCATCTTGCTAGTTTAAACGGTTATTTTTTAACAAAAATCCTGATTTTTATTAAAATTCCCTCAAATTCGACCTAAAATAATATTCTTTGCTCTTACGAACAATTCTTCCGTGATTTCTCACGTATCTTATACGGAGGCGTCCTAATACGTCTCATTACAGCGCAAAATAGATATCGCATTCGTATTTGGTAAGCGTGAAGAACTTTTTCTCTTTAAAAATTTAAAAAATTTCCGACATGGTGTTCCAAAGACTCTGTGTTCGATTCACGCCAAGAGCGGATTTTTGCAATTTATTTAGTTTGTTTTCACCCTTTGGCATTTTTTGTACTTTTTCTATAGCTTTGACCCCATGTAATCGACAAATTTTCCATTCTTCTTTCTAATATAAATGTTACATTAATCTCAAGCTGTTCGCAAACATCGCCCAATACGGTAAAACCTTTGAAGTATTCCCACGAAAACTCGTTTTCCGTGGGTTTGACGGCTAATGCCGAGTCGTGTTCCTGAATTTACGAATCTCTTCACCTCTCGGTTATTCACACCGCACTCCGGCTGTCGGATACTGTTTCGAAAAGGATCTTTATTCAAGAGGAAAAATCCGATTCCTATCTAACGAAGAGAAAAACCACTGATGTCTGGAAATTCAACTTCGCCGTCGACAATAACAGTTAACCTCTAGAGCATACAATGGATATAGATATTTTTTTATGTTTATTTCTTGGGGGTTTAAAAATGTATGGAGACTTGCAAAGTTATGTATAATAAAAGATAACATCCCACAACTGCTGTTTTTCAAAACATAAAATAAATAAAGTATTATTACTCAACAGTTACAACAGAAAAATATATAACTAAATACTAAGTATAAGTATACCTTTTATATTTCCAAAATAGAACAAAACATAAATTCAAGAAAAAAGCAAAAAATATATATAGAAAAAATTAATCCATCATTGACATTCATACAATGAGGATGAAACGAGTTATTAGAGAATAAAATAGATAATTTATTCCATAAAACGTATCCGTAGCTTTATCTAAAATAGAAGAAGGAATCATTGTTGATGTCACTGCCACTAAGTTTCATAGTAGAGGAGAAAGGACTTCACCCAGTAGGCATTCCCTATGGATGTTCACCTGCATGGTTTCTCCGAACATTGGTGCATGTATTTGCCGTCCGCGTAATATGTCTTCTATCAACCAGCAGATAGTGTCTTCTATTCCATATTTGCGAGCAACAGCTACCATTGATTTAAAGGAAACATTATCAAAAGCTCCTTTTATGTCAAGAAATCCATCTAAGAAAATTACTTGGCTACTCAGGCCACCCTCTATCTTGGTTGCAAGATGATGCAGAGCAGACATATTGGGTTGTATGTAGTTTCCTCTCTATCAGAGCGGTTTGCCAGACATGCTGATCAATCAGTTTTTCCAATCCTTTTTTTATAGAAATGACGTCAGAATTATTGGCCTGTAGACCTTTGGCACGACATATGTTGGATTAGGTATAAAAACCACTCTGCTTTGTTTCCATTTATTTGGTACATGCACCAAACTTGCCCTGTAGAGCCTACAAATATGCGGGGTTAGTATTTCTACTGCCTGTTGGAGACGCACAGGCAATACCCCATCTGACCTCGGTGATTTGTATGGGTTAAAGATGCGTACTGTCCATGTTACTTTCTCTGTTGTGACCACCCGTTTTGTAGTTTCCCACTCTTGGCTGGAGACTGTTTTCTGATTGTTCCAGTTCGTGGTGTTTTGGTTTACTGTATTTAGGTTTGTTTTGCAATTAGCGAAATAAGTTTTGAGAAGTAATTCTAATGTTTCCATTCCAGTTTTACTGTATTCCCCTGTTTGGGTTTTAAGAGTCATCCCAAACTACCTTGTTGCTAGATTTTTTCGCTACCCTGCATATAAAGGATAAAAAAAACAATAACAATGTAATAAAGTACTATTAATCTCTCTATAATTTCATAATTATTATAGATCATTCGTTTTAAAGAAAATATCTTGGTACCAAACTTTTGCGCTATCCCGTATATTAAATAGGGGATACTATTGAAATAGTCTGTGACTCATATCTGTGACATAATGAAACGTTGTAGAAACTGCACCTTTTCTTTTTTTGTTTGAAGAGGGGAGTATTATGGTCAACATCATCCTAAAGAACCTTGTAATGCGACGTCACGTTGACACATCGCTTTGCTATAGCCCATTATCAGTATTAATTTGTCATTATATAGTGTGTAAGTAAGTCCTAAGTAAGAGGGAAAGCCCACTCACGCGACATGTCGCGCGCGACCTGTCGCATGCGATTTTTTAGGTGCGATTTTTAACAGACGACAAGCAGCGATACAGACGTTCAGTATCAAAATGAAGGTGGAAGAAGTAGCAACGGTGTTGTTTTACCTTGTTCGTTGGCGGAGAAAATTGAAACGACGTAGGTACTGGGTTCATACATTATTTATAGATCCTCATGTTAAAGGCGCATTTAATTTATTATATAAGGATTTATGTATTACAGATTATTTCATAAAACATAAACATATTTGTGTTCTTATCATCTCAATTTGGAAATCATAGATTTATCCATGTAAACATTAGACATGTGTACAATAAATGTAAAAGAGTGTATGCCATTACAAAAAGTAGTTATGCATATACAAAAATTAAATTACAATATTATTTACAAGGATATGTAGCAAGTAGGTAATTTTCAACCAAATAAAAACCGTATTGCAGTAAATACTTGCACCCTACCCTTCTAAATACAATTTTAGATGTTATTTATTTGAATTTTTGAGGTAAACATGATATATTTTAATGTTTAACAATCTATAAGAGTCCTGTTTTTGATAGTCTAAATTTAAGCAAAAACAACAAATGGACAAAATGTATAAACTCGTTTTATACAATAACAAATTTGCTATTTCTCAGGTAATACATAATTATACTTTTACTTCTTATTACAGAAATAATACCAACAAATATAATTTTCTTATAAAAATAAATGAAGTAAAGGTAAAATGTTTATTTTTGAAAAACTGTTACTGTTCGACAATCCTAATGACCTCAGATAAATATGTTTTACTATAAGGTGTATTGCTCCACATAAACTGGAACTACCTACTATTAAAACAAATTATAAATAAAGTCTTACCTTTCTGTCTTTTGTAAACTGAGTATTGTTAAAAATGCAGTAATCATCTCGGTAATCATATTTTGGTTTACAATGGGTAAAATACTTGATTCAACTTTTATAAATCTAGCTGACAATGTTAGGTTAGGTGGTGTCAATTTTAATGTCACTTAGAGGTGCGTTCACTTCGACATTCTGTGTGTCGGTTTGTTTGGTCTATTCCCGATGACGTATAATTTCGAATTTTAAATTTCAATTGGGCTTAATTTAAAAACTTTTGGCTTTTTTAACGAACTGATTATTTAGAATAACTTGTATAGCGACTAACTATTACAATATAATTTATAAAACAGCATATCTCACATGTGAACATGGCCCAAAAAAATGCTTTCCTATGCCACCAACTGTCTACGTTAATTGGCGACATATGAAAATCTTTTTTACTGTTAATATTGGGAAAAAAGTTATTTTTTATAAAAAGTCGAGTATGGTCTAAAACCTAAAATA